AAGAAATGCAGGTGACCTGAATTCAGAATATAACTAATGAGAGCATCTTAATGTCAGAAGGTTACAAAGTATTCTCATGAAAGAGGAAAAGACTTGTGCAAAAAATAACTGTGCTGGTTTTGTCAGGTTGGCAGGTTTTCTGTTTTAGCAATGACTATTCCGAACTGCAGATCGAAGCCTGTCAGGAGGAGATGCTCACCTGGGGCTAAATCTCACACGATACCTGGCATAGCTGCCGTTCCTCTGATGGTTTTTGCTCACACCAACTCCATCTGTTCCCTCCTGTCCTAGTTCTCCAAAAGCCCAGTGCTTCTTTGGTCCAGAGAAACCGGCTTTGTAGATTATAGTGCACACACATTCCATGTAGATGGGATAAAGGGATTGCATGAGGCACTGAGCAAGAAAAGATGTGATTGGTGTGGCATATTCAGTACCTTGTCCATTTTTATTTCTCTGAGCTTGGGAATTCAGCAGAGGAGATACTAGCCTGTCTCTGGAGTTCATGACAAAAGATGAGGCCCCTTCTGTTTTAATCCTGGTGGATATGAATGTTTGGATTGCAGCAAGGGATCATTTTGCAGCCTTAGACAAAATACTGATCTGAGCTTTATGTTTTATCAATATGTTTTATAATTTGGCCAAGAAATGACATAATCCAGGCATGGATCATGTCCCATCCCTCCCTCCTGATAACCAGTGGATTTTAAACAGCCAGAGCACTTAGGCAAGAATCAGTCATAGTTGTGTTTTACTGTTTCATAGATTCACCAAGATATTGGACTGACCAACCACGTGCCTTTGTTGAAGAAGTCGCTGGAACAATTTGTGTACCGAGTGAAGGCAATGCTGGCATTCAACCACTGCCAGGAGGCCTTCTGGGTTGGCATCCTCAAAAATCGGGATCTCCAGGTGAGAATCATTGCCCTGCCTGGGGCAGTTACAGTCTGGGAAAGGACAGTGCTTATCTTGCCCAGACATCAATAACTCTTGACTTTGTGTAAGGATAAGAGCTAAAAGGCCAAATTCAGAGTGACTGTAGTACAGTCATGTCTAGTGCTGCAGAAAGAAACGTTTTATTTCAAGATTGTTAAGGACCTGCATCTCTGGGGCTGCCTTGCTGGGAGGGTCTCACACTTAGGGATCAGATTTGTAATGACTTGGTATGGGGGTCCTTCCCTCACACAGAAGGGAAGAGATAAAGGTCACTTGAACACCTTCACACGCTCTTGTGTGTGGTTTTAACAGAAGCCAGTCCTGGCTCTTTTCATCATCTTTCACTGCAGAAACAGGGCAGTTAAAAAAAAGCATTTATTTTTTAAATTTTGTTTTTAATTTATTTAAGAAGGCAACAAAATGCCTATTATTTCCTTCCCACCGCGGGGGAAGGAACAGAGGCTGCCCCTCATACGCTCAGCTCAAGTCGTCTGCTTTCAATCAGGGAGAAGAAATCTTGACTCAGGCCTCCGAGGAGCGGGACTCGGACGAGGGCTCGGAGGGCTCTGCGGCGGGACCCGCTGAGGAGGTACTTCAGGGGCCGCCTGGCAGCGGGGGCGGGCAGGGGGTGCAGCGCGGGCTCTGAGGGCGGTGTGTCCCGCAGGAGCCGAGCGGCACGGACACGGACACAGACACGGACACGGACGCGGAGCGCGGCGCGGGGCGCGGCGGGGCCGGGCCGGCGCGGCCCTGAGGCGGAGGGCGGGCGGGCGGGCGGGGCCGGGCCCCGCGCAGGCGCGGCGGCGGCGGCGGCCATGTCGGTGCAGGAGGACCCGGTACAGCGGGAGATACACCAGGACTGGGCCAATCGCGAGTACATCGAGGTGATCACCAGCTCCATCAAGAAGATCGCGGACTTCCTCAACTCCTTCGGTGAGGGCGCGGGGCGGCGGCGGGGGCTGCGGGCGGGCCGGGCGGGGCGGGGGCCCGCGGTGTCTCACTGCCGCCTCCCCGCAGACATGTCGTGCCGGTCCCGGCTGGCCACCCTGAACGAGAAGCTGACGGCGCTGGAGCGCAGGATCGAGTACATCGAGGCCCGGGTGAGCAGCGGGGCGCCGGCGGAATGGGGGGCGGTTCGGGCCGGGCTCGGGGCCACCCCTGGCTGAGGCCTTTCCTCTTCCCGTAGGTCACCAAGGGGGAGACGCTGACATAGGCCCGGGGCGGCCCCGGCCCCCCGCCGGAGCACCGCCGCCCCTCATCCCGCTCGGGGCCCGCCGCCACCGCCGCCGCCTCTGCTCGTGTTGCCAATAAACCGCTGTGCTCCTGCCCTGCCTGATCTCTGCCTGCCTGCCTGCCTGCCTGCCTGGGGCCGGGCCAAGGGATGCCCGGCTCCCTGCCATCGTCCTGGATGTCCAGAGCCTGCCCCTCCATCCGCTCGATCCATGGGGTCTGGGCACGGTTCCTCCCCACACGTGGGGGCTGTGCCACGGGGGCCGCGGGCCTGGCTGTTGTCAGCTCTGGGAAGCACCTGACCAGCCTTTGAGGTGCTCTGTGCTCCTTCTGGGGTCCCAGCAGAAATCTGGTGATCCCAGTGGTCTGGAGGATGTCTCAGCCTTCACGTGCACATGCCAGGGCAATGTGGGGACAGCAGGCTCACCTGGCGTGGTGCTCAGTGCACATGCCACAGGAGAGAGCCCTTTGCCAGCACCTGGGAAGAGGTGCTCATCCTCCTCTCCGGGAGGCAAGTGGCAAGGAGAAGAAAGTCTCTCAGCCCTTCCCACCACTCCTTTCTTTATGTCAGTTTTTCAGTGGGCATCTAGATCTGCACACTCACTGCTCATATTTAGTGTTTGTTGGGGAGTCCATGGAGTTGCTATCTACAGTAAAGGTTTTACTGCTTCTCAGTGGGCTTTAAATGTCTTGGTATATTATTCTGCAACTGAAATCTTATTTTTTTCATAATGGCAACTTGATGTTTGCAGTGTTTACTGAGCATCTGGGTAACTTAATGTTCTTTATATTTTTGAGGCTGTCTGACATCAGCTGGTTGCTCCTCAATATAGTTTCTCCTCCAAGCTCACAGTTTTGTTCCTTATAGGAATCTCTGTGTTTTCCATTGTTTGAATAAGTGCTCCTCCAGCCTTTCCCCCAGCTCTCTCAGTGGTTACATTCAGGTTGGGCTGCACATCAGGGAGGCTTGGCTGCTTTTGGTGCACAGTGCCCATGGAAATGAGAGCTTTGTGGCAGTCCTGCAGAATTCCCAGTGGAGTGGAGCAGCCACGGATCACTGCACTTCTCTGCAGGGGCAATATTAAATGAAGGATAGTGCTGCCACACAAGACTCATGGGTAGAGGGAAAGCAGCCTCTCTTAGCTCTGAGGTGGCCACTCTGTAGCCCAAGTACATCAGAAGTACTCCCATGGTCCATTCACTGCATACTGTGGATGTGCTGGAGTGGAGTCCTGAGATCTCCATCCTTGGGGATAACTCAGTACTTAATCTGGACGAGTCCCTGAGCTGATCTGACTTTAAAGTTGACGTGCTTTAGATGGCAGCGGGGGTTGAGGTAGAGGCCACCAGAGGTTCTTGCCTAAATTATCCTAAGATTCTTCACCCAAAGACTTAATGGGAGACAGAGGGTACCGCAGACATCCCTGGGACTGTGGCTTTTCTGGGCTGACCTTGTGAGATCCACTGTTTGTTCCTGTTCCCATCCCGTGGTGTGCTGTGTCTCCCTTGGATCCCTCCCTGGTCTCCTGACAGGCTGTTGTAATGGTTCTCTCTTTTTCCTCTGACCCCAGGATTTCTCAGAGGAGTAGGTTTTGCCATGCAGTTGGTGTGGCCAGACAGTTTTGGAATAGGGATCTGCTGGAAGGTACCACTTCTCCCAGGACATGTGCTCTGATGGAGCTTCAGCATTCTGGGATCAGCCTGTCTGGTTCATCTCCCAGCAGGAATGCTGTGCAGCTCACTGTGATACAGAGTTCTGCCCTTCGAGGGAGTCTCAGTAGTTCCCTAGAGCTCTGCAAGACCAGCCCTTCTGGTTTGGGTGCTGCTTTTTCCAGGCCATTTCTGGGAGGTGGAGCCTCCTGGTTCTCAGGCTGTGACACTGCTTTTTCTAGCAGCTACTATGATGTGCAGCCCTGTAAATAGATGTAGCTCTGATTATATTTCATTATTTTAAGGACTGGGGAATTCTGTTTGCCTTTTTTTCTTTGTACTGTATTTTGGCCTTTTTTTTTTTCAGAATATGATGCCCCAGGAACCCACATTAAACTTTTCTGGAGTGGATTTGTGTATTCTAATTTAGAAGACTGATTTATGTGTCATGTTAGTGGTGCTGTTATCCCCACCTCACACTTAATGTAGCAGGAGATGGCGACATGCTCTGTGCCCTCATGTCCTGAGAGAGTCAGGTGCTTGGGCACCCCCACGGCTCTGATTATTGGCATCTGAGACATTTTGGTGGTCTGAGACCTTTTCCCAGAGCCTGAACTGCAGAGGGAGCTGGTTTGAAGCCCCTTACAAAGGTGCCAGAACAGACGTACAGAGCCTGAGCCAGTCTGTAGCTTGAGAAAGCTTCACACTCAGATGGCAAACAGGGGGCTTGTCATGCCCACTGCCTGCTGGACAGGCAGCCAGGCCTCATGGAGCGACTGAACAGTTGGGCAGTCCCCATTTGAGGTTCTGAGTTTTCAGAATGAGTATTTTGATCTCAGGCAGGACGCAAGGTTGGCGTCACCATTTTCATGGTGTCAGCAGAAGAGGGGGATAGAGCTTGAATTCAAGCTTGAATTCAAGCTTTACACAGCCCTTAAAGGTTGTAGTCTCTGTTCCAAAGCACATGTTTTAAGATGAATGGATTGGATCAGACTTAAATAGTTCTAACTTTTAGTAAATAACCTTTGGGGTCTCTCTGTTCCTACTGAGAGCAGAGTCTTGATTTTAGGAAACAGCTTTAAAGTCAAATGTGCCTTCATCCCATTTGTGTTGCAGGTGATTGATAATAATTCAGTGAGCTGAGGTGATCTGGAGAGCAAAATGTGTTAGGACACAGCTGAGGTGTTGAGGGAGAGTTGCACTCTGACCCTGATAACTTGACAAAGCTGAATTTTAAATATCCCAGAAGATGGTGTCTGCTTGCATCCTGGTACTGAGGCACTGACAGCAGTGGGAGTCACTCGAGTAGTTGTCTCACAAAGAGAAGATTGGCCTTGCCTGTGTGGAGTTGCTGCTGATCCCCAGGTCAGTGAGCTGGGGAGGTCACAGGGGTATGGGAGGTCTCCAGATTCACTGAGATTTTTGTGTCCAATTTCCAGAAGCTCCCTTATTACCCCTTATTACCCCATAGCTTTTCTGCTTCCCGGCCTTCCTGTCTCCCAGCAGGCACATCAGTTGGGGAGTGGGGCGAGGACAGGTCTCAGCCTGCCTTGCCTTGCTGACAGGATTACAAAATGGCTTCTACGACCAAACCCATTCCACAAAATGTCAGGATTAAATATCAGAATCCTTGGCATTGCCTCTGTGCTTGAAAGTGCTAAGGAAAGGGGCTTTATCAAGAGGGAGGATCAGCTGAAGCAGGGAATTGTCCCTCCAGCTGCTTTTGCTTCCCAGGGAGCACATGTGCTCCCTGCCTGTGGCTCTGCCTCCACGAGGCACTTCCAGCCCTATTGCTAGACCACAAGAAATGGAGATGGGAAGGGACCCCAGGGAACTGGGAGAACAAGGAAGAGAAGAGGCCCTGATTTTTAGCAGATTTTTTTGTGGGTTGCTCCTAGAAGCAGTCCTATGGGGACAGTGTCCTCAGACCCCTTGATCCTTGTGCTTGCTGCAGCACCTTGGCTCAGCCAGGCCAGGGGCCGGGTGCAGCTCACTGTTCCCCACTTGTGCCCATATTTCCTGCACCCTGGCTCAGGGTGTAGCAAGTGCACAACTGGGATTGGTTTTCAGCCTTTGTTTTTGCCTCCTCCAGGGACTATAAGAAGGCCAAGGCCCTGGCTCTGCTGTGGGAAAGGAGTACTTGCAGAGTGAGCTGTCACAGCTGGAGAGCGCAGAGGCAGCTGGTGAGACAGGAGAAAATGGTGCTGAGGGAGAGGAGAAGGGCTGGGTTGGTCGAGGTCTACTGTGGAAACTCAGTCATTAGCATCAGGTTCAGGAGTACTGTTAAGGTACTGTGGGACTAAATATTACCTGCCCTTTATGGACTTGTGCTTTGTGTTGGGGCTGCACTATCCATCCCACTGATGGCCCTGGGTTTCCTCGATGTAGGACTGTTGACCACAGCGCCTGAAGGAGGTCAGTAACCCTCCCAGGGAGTGGGTGATACATCCTGGCCCACACTTCCTGTTGATTTAGCCTGTTCAGACAGGCCTAGTTCTTAAATTTAACAGGCTTGAGCTAAAATTTCACTGTGTTAATTTGAAATACTAATATAATGAATTATTTATTATGGCAAGTAATTCCACAGAAGGGTACAGAATAATAAAAAAAAAAAGAATTCCAGAAGATCTAAGTAAGGTACAATGTTATGATCCACTCTCCCCTATGGTTCTACAAAAACTTTTGTGGCTAAACCTCAGCCACAGGCTTCTTCCAAGCTTTTGTGGCTTCTCAGGTAAACAGCTGCCTTCTGATGACCTCAGCATAACAGGGTGTGCAGGGTGTTACTAATTCAGTGATGGTCTGGAAGGTGAGGGAATGAGTTGTACTTGCTGCTTCTTGCTTTTTCCTTCTCAAAAGTTTCAGAGTTTAAAAAATGAAAAGATATCTGTAAATTAGCTGTAGCCTGCAAAATGCATCTGACTGTGAGGCATAATCCCCCTGTAGTTACCTGTGCTTTGTAGTCTCACAACAATTGTTGAAGCAGACTTTATTTAAAGGAAAATAAGTAGCGACTAAGTAAGTTCACAGAAGGGACTCATTTAACCGACCCATTGGATAAAAGCCAGGGTAGGGCAATAGGTGTCTTGGGAATGTTTTAATCTGTCAGAAATGTGATGACTAAAGGAGCAATTACTGCTCTATGTACCATCCCTGGGCCCCTCCTACACTCACTTAGGAGTATTTCTACATTTCTCATGCAGCCTGCCCATGTGACGAATTTGCACACACGCTGTACCCAATTAATGTCAAGCATAAGAGCTGCTCTGCATGTGTCTCACCTCTCTAAACCCCCCCTGGTAGCAATTTTCCCAGCATACAAAGAATAAATCACCATTCTGCTAACTCTCTCAGAGGACAATTCCCAAATAAGGGCAAATAAACACATGTAACACATGATAAAACATAATTAATGGGATAATATTCTTCCCAGCAGAAGTAGAGTATTAGTCTGCTTTAAGTATTAAATGTACATGTAATTAAATATGGCAAGGTAGGTGAGACAAGGCACTTGAATAGGCACTTTTAGAAAACTGGTGAAATGACTTAAAAAAAAAAGCCAAAACCCAATCCTTCCCCCTCTTAAAAAGTATAAAAAACCCCAACACAACCCCAAACAAACTGGTAAAGAAAAATCTATGCACAGGGACTCCAGGAAGTATAACTGACTTTCCCTGTGTCCCAGGCTCTCCAGAAGCAGGAGCAGATGAAGTGAGGAGAGCAGAGGGAGGGTGTGCAGTCTGTACAGCCTGCCCCACACACCCCTCCTGGGGCACAACTGTGCAGAGTAACACCGTTACCTTAATGTGACAAATGGCTTAACATGGCCACACCTTGTATAATCAATAGACGCTGTGCTGTTGGAATCCTGTGCCTGGGAGTCTCCCATGACACCACTGTTGCTCCTCACACACATTTTTGGGTGACCACGCATCATGCTGACTTTTTTGGCTCTGGTACACCAGAGGGATCTGCTGCTCTGCTACTCTTGTGGCTGAAGGCTGGCTGGGTCAGGAAAGCATCACCTGCCAGTGAAGGAGCAGCTCCCCTAAACAACCCTGGGGTGGCTCTAGTGAACGATTGTGCTGAAGGAGTGGCTGAGAAGGGCTGGGAGGGAAGCACTGATGAACTTACTGTGGGTATGGGATGAGCAGAGCCAAGCAAAGGTTTTGTGTTTTCAGCACCCTCTCTTTGGCTGCTGGAGGTGGGAGGGAGGGCATGTTTCCCTTCCCTGTCAGGCATTCCACTTGTGCCTCCCTTCCTGAGCCTGGGGATGCCCTGGGCAGGAGGGCAGCATGCCTGGGCTTCTGAACCCCCTTCATGGTGCCACTGCTCAGCTTTATGGGAGCCCAGGGCCTTTCTCCTCAGACTGGGATCCCTGCATCCCCAGTGTCCCCCTCATGTCCCAGAGAAGCCAAACAAGCAGGCCTGGGCCTCCAGCCCAAGCAGGGGCTGAGCTGGAGCAGCCATGGGCTGTGAGGGGTCCTGACTGGTCAGGGCTGCTGAGCCCATCAGTGCCTGAGGCAGACTGGGAGCTGCCCAGCTCCTCTCCCTCATACTGGCGGGATCAGGCCTTGGCTGCCTTCCCCAGAGCTCAGGGAGATGGGAACACGCCTGGAGCACGACTGGCATTGGCCAGAGGATGCGGCGGAGCCGCCGCCGCTCACCCTGTGAGTCAGGGGTGGCCACGTGAGGCCCCAGCACCAGCCCCGACGCCTTCCCGCCCACCTGCCACCACAAGCCAGGGCTGGCACTGGGATCTCTGCCCCTGGGATCCTGAACCATCGCACAGCCTTGCAGGTGAGTGCTGGGGAGGGGTTTGGGAGCTTCTTGGGGTCAAACTCGAGGTGTTTCAGGGTTGTGTCCTTGCTCTTGGTACACAGTTGGGTTGTTGGTTGCTGCCCAAAGCATCAAACCACTGTACAAGGGTTCTGGTGCTGTGGGGGTGAGCCACGGGACTTCCCTGTAACCTCTGTGACTTCTTGACTCAGCTTCCCTATCTTATCAATATTTTTTTTCCTCTAAAATCCTCACGGCAAGCCCTACACTTTATGAGAGGAAGATATTTTTGCCTTGACTACAAGCATGAGCTCTTCTGGCTTCTGATGAGCTCATTTTCTTCCCTTCAGAGCTTTGCAACGACCACAGAGAAGCGCACGGTGCAAAAGAAGAAATACAAACCAGGTAATTTCGAATGTTGTATGTAAATGCTTATGGGAGCATTGCCATTCCCAGCGCAGCTGGAAAACAGCAAACCGCTCCTGGTTTCCCGCTGTGAGGCTGGCAGCAGTGCAGCAGTGCAGCCGCCGTGTCTGGGCTTGCTGTGAAAGCCAGGGGAGGAAGGAAGTGCTGGAGCTGTGGCAAGGAGTGGATGGGTTGTGCCTGTTCCCTGCTCCCCCCTCTGTGGGGCCGGTCCCAGCCAGCCTGGGAGCTCCCTCCCTGCGGGGACACTCTGGGTCTCTCCACATGCCTGTGTTCAGGGACGTTGTAAAGAGTGAAAAGTGTTTTGAGTTTTGCTACTTCTGTGTCGCATTTCAGCTATATTTGACAACAGGAAGGCAAGCAGAGGGGTAGCAGAATTACCTCACTGGTGTCACAGCCTGAGGAGACTGGAGTAGCAATGAGTTCAAACTAAGACTGTGGATAAGTTTTTGTTGTCTCACTGGTAGAAACAGCTTTCACCACAGCCCTCCAGGACATCTTCCCATGGAACCAGCTGCTATGACCTAACTTGCAGGTTAGGTCTTTTAAGACCTACCTTTAAGAAACTGGGTTTGGTTTGGTTTGGTTTTAGAGAAAGGCAGGGAGGCACTTAACATTTAGGTTTGAAATAAAATTTATCAAGATTTGGTGTCAGCATATAACTTAAAATGAAAGGTTAAAGTAACTTCAAAGGGAAAATGTTTAGGATTGTCTTGTTTTTGTCTTGAAGTCAAAACAACCTTATTGTACTTTATTTACATTTTTGTAATCCCATTGAGCAATTTCCTTCAAATATATTTCAGCAGCTAAGCAAAAAGTTTTTGCTTAGTTTTGGCAGTTACTAACCTCACTTTGTAAGTCTGACTCTGCATACAAATTTTATTCTAACTTGTTAAAAAGACCTCACTGCAATTAAGTTCTGATTTACTGTGGGGAAAGCAAGGTGAGGTCTGTTGTTTGTGTTATTCTCCAATGAGCTCATGACCAGGCTGAAATGTCAGTATATTATCATCCTTTTGTCACTGAGGTATAATCAACTAAATCACTTTTAAAATATACAATAACTAAGCACCTACACTTATCCTTTGTTTAGAGCTGATTTTCTTTCCAGAAGAGCCACAGGGGAATTAACTGTGCATAGTCTAAGAGAAATTAGGTGCCCGACTTCCTCTGTTACGTAAATGTTGGTGACTGACTGGGCTGAGCTGTGCTGGAGGCACAGAAAGGGAGATGGGAGCAGATGCCGGCTGCTCCTGAACCCTCCTGGGGCATCCAGGCCTTATCACAGCGGGATGTGTAAGTGCATTAGGAACCTCAAAGACAAACCTCCTGAATTTCACCCAACAATAAAACCTGTGGATATTCGTAAATTATTTTATGAAATGGAATTCATAAGTCAGAAAAGAAATGTTTATATTTTAAGTACTTTTGTTCCTTTAGGTCTGGTATTTCAACCGTGCGGTCCAGAAAGAGGCCTAAAGGATTTAACTTAAACAAGCAAACACTGTTGCAAGGTTTAAACTGAGCAAATAGGAAGGCAAGAAAGAAATTGAAAAAGGCAGAAATCCTAGGTGGAGATACAAAACTGCCCAGAACTGGTGCTCTTTACCTGTACAGCCAAGAACGAGTCTGGCCGGGGTGTGGAGTGTGGTGTGCTGGGTTCCTGCATTTCAACATCAGCTGTTGCTGACCCGGCAGAGGGACAGATGCATTTCCTGCATTCCCTGTTGGGTGCTCCCAGTGCTGCTGCCACAGCCACAGCAGCAAAGGCAGGATGTAAGTCAGGCAAAGGGATTATCTGTCACGGTAGAGCTTTTGCATGGACTCGTCATCGGAAATAATTTCAGAGTGTTTCCTCACAGTACACCTCGGAGGCAGGTAAGCAGTTTTCTGGCCTCAGCCTTTAGAAGTGGTTAAAGAGTTTATGTAATTTTCTCAGAGCCTAAACAGTGGCTGAAAGGAGTTTCAAACTAAGGACCTCATCACTTGAAGAGCACTTGCAACCTAGGAAAGGAGAAAGCCCCCAGAACTACCAACATACTGAAAATGTGGGATCTTGACCCTGGTCCCAAGGGAGAGATGGGTTTTACAGCTACTTTAGGGTCTGTTTGTATCTAATTTCCTCTGTCTGAGAATTGGTGCCCTAAAAAGCCGTTCTGTTTGAATGTTTGCTTGTGTGTTACACTGTCCTTCTGAAGATATTAACTGACCTGTTTGGGCTTTTGTATTAGAATATTTTTTTGACTGATATGATGGTCTCTATAGAACTGAAAAAGTGCCTGTAGGAAAAAAAAACAGGTTTCCCTCTGGAATATTTGAAAGAAATACTTAGTTTTCAAACTGCTTGATTGGAAGTGTTTTGTTGAATGGATACAAAAGTCATATTGTAAGAAAAAGTGTGGACATATAAACTGCTTTCCTACTGCACCCTGGATAGTGGAAACTGTGCTTCAGGCTCCCTGAACATCATCTTCTGCATCTCTCAGTACAATAGTGGAGTAGTTGAAATGTTGCATGAGGGGAGAAGCATCATTGTGGGATGCCTGGACTACAGTAGGCATAAAGCTAAAGTTAATGGAAATTTCCTTGTCGTAACAAGTTGGGAAGAACAGATGTTGAAGCATCAAAGTCTTCTCTGAGATGAATTCAAAGTCTTGTGGGACTTTCCTGTGAACTATTCTCTCTGGTCAATACATTTTAAGTATTTAGGTGTCAAAGGTACAGAATAATCATTCTGTTTTGTGAATGGAACAGGACCTGTTAAGTTACTCACATGTGTGGTAAATAGTTAATTAGACACCTTGGTAGCTGTAAAAAACAACAATGTGAATGATCAAGTCCAACTTCTTTCTGTTTTACTCATGATGATTAGACTTTTGTTCTTTCCTAATAACCAAAGGCCAGCCCAGCAGGACTCACTCAGAGGAATCGAAAATTGGGTCCCAGCAGGGCAAATGAATCATGATGTGAAACTCCCATTGCAACAGAGAAGTGATTTAACAACTGAAGGGCCTACAGATACATACCATGTTTGCAGAAAGTCGAACATAAGACAGAAAACGAGGGTAGGTCAGTGATGTGATTCTAATGTGCTTTTTCTCCCCTTTTGAACAGGCACAGCGATGGAGGACTTGAATGTCCCGGTCCCAGATCTTACTGAAGAGCAGCAAGGTGAGGGGAGCACACAGAGATCAAAGCTTCAGCTCATTCACACTCCTCAGCAGTGTTTGCCAGGGTGGTGATGACTCAGTGAAATTTGGTTCCTCTGAAAACACACTCCATCCATCCCCTCGTAACAGACAGATCATCAGTCAATTCCCAACTCTTCCACACACTTCTGTCAGGCCTTGGGCATGTGACAGTGGGAATTTAGATGCATGAAGGAGACTTTGCTGCACATCAAATGCCTAATGAGCAATCCCATTGCTCATTACCAGTACCCTGGTACCCAGCCCTTGGGGTCTTTGTGCCTGCCTGTAAAATAGCATGGTCAGAATGAACACCCATTAAATAGCAAGGAATGCTTTGGAGACACATGCCCTGTTTCTCTGACTGAGACAGGGGCATCATAGGGACATCAGTTATTTGTATGGACATTCTCCTACTGTTTTCTGGCAGACCAAGATGCTTTATACAGTAAAACACTACTTTCTTTACTATGTGCTGGTGTTGGGCAACATGTTAGAGCCTGGTGCCTGTCACCACACCTACACTGAGCAGCACAGAAACACTGCCATGAGCCCACCTCTGCTGCTGCACAGTCATAGGCTTGTTTTTATTCCCAGACGTATTCCAGAGGGTTTTTACTGCTGATGCCAATTACTTGGAGAATCACGAGAAAACGAACCAGTCCTTTTGGGAATCACTTGTAAAATGTTTAGCCACCACTGACCCTCCTATCCTGAATACTGAAGAAAAGAACAATGTAAGTTACTGAAGGAACATGTATCCTTGTTACAAACTTTTGTATTTTCCTACTGTACTCTGGGTAGAGAAAATTTATAGTCCAATCATCTGATATGCTAGAACATGCTAAAAGGTTTAAAAGGGCATTTAGAGAAATGAAATTCAGCACACCGTTTTTTACTTCATTGCTCTCCATGTACAAAATAACTGGCTTTGTATAAATTCCTCAGGATCAGTTCAGCTCATTATTTTCTAGGCAGGACCACTGTTAGTGACATTTTGCTGTAAGGTACTGCAGAGGTTCCATGTCCATTTTCAGACCCTGTACTTGTATTTCTCCAGCTCTTGAAATAGTTAAATATTGCCCACCATGCTTTTTATTCCCAACTGATGGCTCTACTCTGAGTTTACATTCTCCTTCCATCTTTGGCTTTACTATTTGTCCCTAATTTCCCACTTGTATAGTAGGGGCAGGGGGTTAAATTTCCCACAGACAGGATGAGATACCTTCATTTGTAGGTCAGGGTATGGTGTTTCCAGGCTGTGTTTGATTGGAAGGACTTACTTTTGTTTCAGCTCCTCAACAGCTGTGATGTCCTGCCTGGGGGCTGTGCTGCCTGCCTGAGAGCTGTAGAGAAGAAAGGAGTCAGGGCAATGGCTGTTCTTTACCTTTTGCTGAAGGCATCCAACCCAGCTGGATACAGGCAGCTGCCCAGCTCCATGGGAAAGGGTGAGTCCTCCCTGCCTGCCTGTCAGCTATTTTGTTACTGCAGTGCCAGGGGGACTTGGCAGCAGCTTGAAAACTCTGATCTGTGCTTGGAAGTGATTGTTAGTGACGAACTGAAATGTCTACAAGTACTGCTCAGGAAAGGCAGTTATGTATGGTGGTAATGGGAGCCAAAGATAGTATTTTACTGTAGTTTGAATTGGTTTCTTCAGGGGAAAAAAACCCTGTGTGTTTATGGAGAGGATGTCCTGGGATGATGCTGCCAGAGAAATTTCTCTAACTTGACATGGTGCCCCAGTTTTCCCATCTGGCTGGATTGAGGACACCCAGAACCCATCTGAGCTCTTAAGAGTGGTAAGAAATCAGAGCTGAGCCTCTGAAAGTATTTTTACAAATAGGCCTGGCAGCACATGTAGTGAAACTAGAAGGAATGGCTAGAGGATGGCACTCAGGATGCTGAATCTGGTAGCAGGATACAAATAGATTCCACTGCACTTCTGATTTGCCTGGTTATGCAATAAGAAACTAAGGGCAGTTCTACAGGGTCCATAAAGTCATTAATTGTCTTTAATAGATGACAGAGCTGCATGCACTTAAGATGACCTTGAATTTAACTGGAGATCCTTAAGGACATCCTGTTCCTGTTTCTGCCTTCATCAAAACATGTTCCTGAAGGGGAAAGACCTCCCACCCTGGAGCACTGCCCAGCACTAGTCATCTGTCAGAGCAGGACTGTTTGTCACAGGAGGACCCTCCTGCCCTTGTGCAGTGAGCAGCCTGAGCAGCCAGGGGGAAGGAATCACATCGACCTTTCTGTGCCCAAATACTGCCCCTGGTAACGGAGCAGTGCTCAGAGCCCCGGCCCTCAGCCCTGAGCAGGATGTGAGGCTGTTGTAAGGGTTCACCTGCTCTTCAGTGCCTAGGCCGAGTCAGTGCCCTGCAGGTGCCTCCCCTGGTGATCTGGCTTTGAGGGATGTGCTCCTGTGCCACGAGAGGGTGCTGGAACCGCGGCATCGGCACAGGGAGCCCGCAGCAGTCACGGGGTGACGGCACAAGTAGCCCAGGGAAGGGTGAGCCACTTTTCTCCAGCTAAAGCATTGTTCAGCTGCAATTGCTGTTGTTTCAGGGAGTGGGAATTTGCACAGGGGTAACAATATGAGTAAATTAAAGGCCAGAATATGAAACTACCACGACCATTTAAGAAAGTCTAAACTGTAGTGTGTATGATGCTTTGTACTACTCCTTGTGTGCAAAAAATACAGCTGAAGTAAAACTAAGGGTCTGATTTCCTGTCAGGCATCCTTAATAAAGCATTGTAGAAATCTGTCACTGTGTAAAAGTGAGAAAACGTAGTCATTGATAATGTTTTTTTCTTTATATATATAACAGATGAAAAGTTGAAACTCCTGAAGAGATTGGAAAGGAATCTTGTGCTTTCACAGGAGGAACAAAAGGCTGAAAATTCATCCCATGAATCCATGGATGAAGATACACAAGGTAAAGAATTATGGATGTAAAAAATGCAAGGCTTTAATATTTTAACTTACGTCTTAAACTGAGCTCAGCCCAGATGTAAGAGCAGCTCATTTAAATTGACATTAGGAGATTTAATTTGTCTCACGGGAGTCTGATTCTACCTGACTTCAACTACTGTGAGAGATGGAATGTGGGGGGTTAATAGTCCAGTCATGTTTCCCAGTTTCAAACTCTATAACCCCCAGCAGAGCTGCCCTTTCTGAGGAGTTAAGAGTTGGTCTCTACTTAGTCACTGTTATACACCTGCACTGATTTCAGGGGAGTTGGCATCAGACACCACACTCACTGCAGGTATTGACCTACATCCCCTTTGCATCATGTTTTAGGCACACCAGCAGAGATGGTTCCCTACAGAGATTCAGGTAAGCGTTCCCAGGTAACCTCCTCCTGCTGGAAGGATGTTTATAACTGCAGTATCTTCTTCCTGACCTGCTGATACACTAAAAAATAACCCCTGGCTGTAAATCCTTTGTTGTCCAGTTAGACCTGGGCATGGTGCAGACATTCTGTTGAAGAAAACTCCTGCCTTAGCTCAGAGCATTCCCAGCAGGAGGTGCCAGGTGATAACCAGATGACAAGCAACAGAACAGTGCCGGCTGAGAGGGCTGTATGGGCATCAGCCAGCCTGAAGGCAGATTTCCTCTTAGCAGGCACTGCTGTGCAGCAGCAGAATGGATGTAAAAAGCCCAGAGCAGGAAGTTCTCAATGGCTTAATTGCATTACTGACCTCACTCCTGCATCCAGGCTGAGGCCACATGTGTGAGTTGGGAGTGACAGCCCAGTGGAGTGGCCCTTGGGAGGGGACACCTGCTTAACTCTTCTGTGCAGTAGAGAAGATATAAATTGCAGCATAACCCTTGAGGAGGTTTTTGAGTTCCCTGTCCTCAGGGAGCTCCACAGAACACCAGGGCAGAGAATAGGCTGCAGTACCATACTCTCCCCACATTGCCACGTACAGAAAGAGAGCTCCAGTACTTTTCCAGCTGATGTTTGGCCTCTCTCTCACTTGCCCCGGCCTTTGTTGCTTCAGTTCTACATTAGTTCAATACCCCAGACTGAAAATGTTTCTCTAGTGCAGGACACTGTGTCTGCTGTGCTGGGCAGGTTCAGGTCACACACATTTCCAGCTCGTGATCCCAGCTCTGCCTGGGTTTAGTTTCACTTTCAGCAACTGTGCATTACCACGGAGGCCACTGCCCAGCTATTTCAGAGACACCAGGATCACTGTGAATAATCATTTATTATTATCTTTTCTTGGGCCTTTTAACCCCCTTCATTTCCTGGCACTTTCAAATACTGCTCTGTCTATACTGAGTCAGCAGATAGGTGACTCCTCGCTGCCCTTGTTAGTGCTAAGAACAGTGGGAAACTCCTAACTGGTATTTTCACCACCACAAATAACAAAACTATATTGCTTTTCAGAGATCACGAGAAGAGAAGATTCAATTGCAGATGGTAAGTACAAGCAAACAGAAGTTTATCTTGTATTCTTGTAGCTGTGGATGTGCAGAGCACCCAGGAATCAAACTGAAGCTCCCTTGTACTATGGCTTTATTCCCCCACTGTAATTCTGAGACTATGGATTGTCCCAGAGGAGACAGAAAAGACCTAGAGTGCTTTAAAACAATTCAGTATTGTTAATGCAGCCATCTGGTTACACTTTTGTTTTTAAATTTCTTTTAATTTAAATTTATTCTTTAGAGTGATTTAAAAATTGCTAATTTGATCTTTCTGAAAGGCTCACAGATCTTTTATTTAAACAAACAGTTTTATACACATTCTGCTCTGAGAATCTATTTCAGATACAAAAAAAGCGAAATAAACTTCAAACTCCTTAATTTCTGAGTTCCATGGCAATAAAAGACATTTCTTTTTTGCAGCATATGAGAACCAGAGCACTCCCCACACTCAGTGGGCAGTTCGGTGGATGGGCATACGGAAGGATGGTAACTTTTTTAATTTCTTTTTTTTTTAATTGAATTGATGATAAACCTGTTGAACCTCAGTCTAATCCAAGAATAAGATCTCTGGTTCAAAAAACCTTTATTTTTCTGACATGACTACTTTGTTGAAATGCATCAAGACTTCTTGATGAAAATCATCAAGGCTTCTCCCAACACCTTGTGTGCAGGTCCACTGTGCAGTTGGTCCCAGTGCTCGAGACTATTCCCTGAGGGATACCCTGGACCTGAAGGTGCTTTCCAGATGGCCATGGCCACAGTTGTGACCTAATCTTCCTTCTTAATTTCAGATGAATTCTTTCATTTTGTCATTCTCTGCTTTGCAATTGGAGCTTTACTAGTTTGCTACTACTACCACCAAGGTAAGGCAAGATTCAGTAGAAGGATAAATTGTTGAACTCTAGGAAAATGAAAAAAGCCAACATTTGTTTTTTTTGCCTTAGATTGGACTATTTCTCTTGGAATTGGTTTAATCACCTTTGCTTCCCTGGAAACCACTGGGATATACTTTGGTCTAGGTAAGTGTCCCTACAGCAGCAGCTCTGTCCCTGCACTTAGCACAAGGTCACAGAGTCACCACTCGGGGCTCTGGGGCTGAGATTCCATAACTCCCCACGGATCTGTCCCCCAACATCCCCTCCACAGTCACAGTGGTGCTGCAGACAAGCAGCCTTGGTGCCCCTGAAGGCAGAGGTTGACTCATTTTTCCTTCTCAGTGCTCACAAGACCCTGAGTCACCTCTTTCTGCAGCAATGGCCGAATGCTGTGTTGCCATGACAACGGGTAATTATAGCAGCAAGGCCGAGTCTTCCCAGATCCACCCGATAAGATGCTGCTCACTCCGGCTGCCATCCATTCCCCTGGGACTGAGGATGAGCTCCCAGAACCTGGATGGCAGCAAGCATTTCAGCAATCCCTAGGGATGGCAGAGGAGAGGTGCAAACAGCAGCCAGTTCAGGCTCCCCAGCCAGCAACTTTTAACATCCTGTGTAACCTCGTGCCACCATTTCACGGGGTTGGGGGTGGTTCTCTCAGGAATCAGTCTGGCCATTACTTTGTGATTAATGGTATTGCAGAAGTGTTTGTTTAAACAAGTGTCAGTATTTGGGTTTTGCCATTTTCCTCATTTTTTACGTTTTATGTAAACGTGTTTGTTTTCACAACCAGTGTATCGAATTCGGAGTGTCCTCGACAGCTTTGTTCCCCTGATTGACAAATTCAGGCCAAGAGGTAACAGTGCTCTTTTTACTGACAGTGTGTGTCTTCCCTAGACCTTCCTGGGTACTTTGGTTGGGTCAAGTATTAAGATCAAGTTCTCTAAACTACAATTTCCAATCTTATTTCTTTAGTTAAAAAAAAAAAGAAATATTTTACTACAGTTCATTGCAGCTGCTTGGGTTTGAAAATGGATTGTTTTTGACTCTTTCCCTGGGGCAGAGCATTTTCACATTTTTAATACCCCTGTATGGAGTATTAACTACTGGCAGTGTCTGCATAAGAATTCTGTAGCTCAAATAAAAACTGGATGAGTCCAGGGAGGTTTTGTACGTTGGGTCTTCAAACAGACTCCTGGCTCACGTTTATCCATATTCATGGACAGGAAACATGAAGAATGCTGGAAAGCTGCATGGACACAGGACAGTTTGAACACAACAGTTGTGACAGCTGTCTTTTTCTTCATCTCACAGGTGTGAGGAAAGCTGCCTAGGAGGAGCGTGTCAGGCGAGTTCCACAAACCCTGAATTCTCGGTACTAAAAGAACTGCTTTATGAGGTGAACCTAAAAACTGAATGGCCAGTGTGAAATACTGAAATGTCAAAACCACTGAAAAGCATCACTCCTTCCCCTCAAAAATAAACCTGACACGGGTACGGGGCCCACTCTTGCTTCTGAAGAGGTTTGTGGCTCAGCAGAGCTCAAACACAAACCAACATCTAGACTGTCATTGCCTTAATTCCATTAAATATGAACACATTCTCCATGTGAGTCTGCCTGTGGTGCATCAAAAACCAGTGTCCTGTGCTGGTTCTGGATTAGGCTCTGGATGTTTCAGGAGGAATCCTGGCAGCCCCAGAGGCACCTCGTGGTGCTGCTCTCCCAGCTGAGCCCCAGCAGTGCAGCAGAGCTGAGGCAGATTAACTGTGGCAGAACTGGGAGCAGTGAGCAGGCAAGGATTGCACCTGGGGAGAGCTGGGGAGATGTTACATGCACTGACATAATGGTGCAGTAATGGGATTATTAACAGCAGCAAACTTCATCTCTTCTCCTGAGGGAAAAAATAAAGTGTTTGATTTGACTCATCCCCCAACGTTTGAGTAGAATAAAGTGGAACTCTGGCATCCCTTTCATTTTATAGGGCCTTGTTACACATTGTATGTGTAGGGCTAATGCAATCACAGGCACACTGCAACAAAAGGGGCACCTTTAAAATTTTAGTAAGAATGTAAGGTCTTCCTACCCACAGAGTGACGAAGGCAACAAGTTGAACAGAAAAAGCCATAAAACATGGAAATGTAAGGAAATGTAGATCTGAAACCCATTAACCAGCCCAGAGGTTTAGATGAACAATTTCAAGCCTTGCTCAGAAAATTCGATTACTATTTAGCTGTGCTTAATTTTAAGCATCAATCACTTGGTCCTGCAGTTCCACCTGCGCTGCCAGAAATACCAACAGTTGCACCCAGGCCTGCACCAACACAGCACAGCACCCACCCAACACCCCAGGGGCTAAATTGTGCAAAGATGAACACCAGTTATTTCATAATACTTATATTCTCATTTATATGTACTATTTCCATGTCTTTGTAGAAATATTCTGTCATGCTAAAATACTGTATATTTTGTGTTAGTCTGCAAATAAAGCCAATGTAGCCTTGTCAACAGCAAATGGCTTTTGGGTGAACCGAGAACTACACAGAGTCACCCTGCTCTGATGAAAAAGGCTTTTTTAGTGTTCTCTGCTGTGTAACATCTTTCTAAAAGGCATTTTGTAGAATAGTCAAGATGGGAAACATATTTCAGTACTAAATGTTTCCAATTCAGTACTCTGCAATCAACAATGAATTTTTAATTTTTTTTAAACAGAAGCTTAAGGGTAAAACAAGCAAAACGTTTTAAAACAGCAAAACGTTTAAGAAATGACCCAGTGCATCCCACCATGCAAGACGAAAAGCTCAGCCAGCTCAGAGCAGCTCACCTGAGACAAGTCAGTTCGATAGACAAAAAGCAACTTACACATTCAGCTGCTTCCTCGTGGGTACCTGGGAATTTCCTGCTCTTCTTCCAGATCCTCCTGTAGTCCCATCTCAGCATCGCTCTTGCTGCAGCACTGGCCAAGCACTCAAAAATACAAGTTCCTATGAAAAGTTTCAACCTCTTTCATGAGCTTGTGCTCACTGCACTATCCTTCAGCCCAGGGCTCACTGCTCATTCCCAGGGCTCTGCTGGCCCTCACCCCTCCTTTGCTTCCCCACTTTCCCAGCACATCAGGTACTTCCTCCTTGCCTTTGGATTTAAATGGCTGGGGGGCAGCACAGAGAGGAGGGACTGAAAACACAGCTGTGACCCCACCACACCCAACAGAGAAAAAAAAGAGATGAAAGCCCAGGAGGTTTTTTAAGCTGGTATTTTTATTAGAACTCTCTACATAAAGCACCTTTGCCTGCCTTGAGCTGACAGCACCTCCGAACAAGCTCTTCCGTTACACAGCACGAGACGCTTCGAACTACTCGGCGTTCCTGGACTTGGACACGGCCGCCCTCACCGCCTGCATGATGGCATCCTTGTCGATGCCAAACATCCGCAGGAGCTCCGCTGGCTTCCCGCTGCGGGGCACCTGGGACACGGCCAGGCGGCTCACGGTGACGCCGGGCTCGCCCACCACCGCGGCACACACGGCCTCGCCGATGCCACCTGCGGAGAGAGGCACACACGGCCTGGACCGGAGCGTCCCAGCAGGGAACACACAGGCTCTGTGTGTGCCTCAGCAAAGGGCCCTGCATGGCACAGCCTCAGTCCCCAGGCCTATGAAAACACCAATCACTTGTGTCCCAGCTGGCCACGTGTGAAATGAACACCTTTCCCTGCATCAAGGGCATTCCGAGGACAGGCAGCCTGACGTTCCTGAATTACTTCCCAATCAGCAGCCTGCCTCTCAAGGGCACAGGACTGTCAGCAAGCTCTCAGCACCTCGGCAGCAGCCGAGGGATGGGTTTAAAAATACATTTAGACTGAAGAGTATTTACCATTGTACTTAACGTGCTGAAACTCCAACCCATCTCAGCAGCATTTCAGAGCTCCATCTCTTCCCAGTGCTGTACGTGCCGCTGGGCACCTCTCTGGTTATGTAACACACTCACAACCTTTGCTCTGAGCTCAGCTCACACTGAGTCACTATCACTCACAGGGACAAAGGATGCAACGGGAACTGTGTGCAGGCAGGAGAGACACTGGAAGCAAGAGTACTAGGGAGGAAGAAAACATGGGACTTGTGTCCAAAGCATCTGCTCTGGGACTGGTAGGAGAGACACCCTGGTGCTGCCCTTCAGTCAGGGTGTATCTGGGATCAGAGGGCTCCCCACAGCTTGGGCATGGTGGGAACGGAGCCTGCAGCCAGGGGCACCTCTGCTGGGCAGCTGGAAAGATCAGCTGGTAAGATCAGCCTGATGGTGCCTGCAACACACTCAGGGTTCTGATGCTCATACACCTGCCCTGCCCTGCCCTGCCTGCCCCAGAGAGCACCGTGCCAGCTTAAATAGCCTGTTCAGCACCTCACAGTGTCATGATTTGTGACCTATCACCATCCAGAGTCTGCAACAAAAGTATGGTGTATCCAGCACTTATGGTAGATCCAGCTCACTTCAGGTACCTGGCAAGAGTGATGCTCACCTTAAAGCAGGGTGAGCATTATTATAATAATTATATCTACTAATTTCTATTAGTCAATATCTACAACAGCAGAGAAGAAAGAGGGAGGAATTTATCCCAGAGGGACTGCGCAAACTGCCAAAACCATCTGATTTCAGGCAACCTGGAGCCAGGCTTTTGGACACATGGAATACTTAAGAAGTCTGCCCAGCAATGGTCTCCTGCAATTTCACTCCTGCAGAGCAGCTGCTGTACAGCCACTCAGAGAACACTCCTGTGCAGAGCCCCTGCAGCACAGCAGGAATTTACAATTTCACCGGGCACAAATGAATCCAGACTGCATTTGGACCAAGCACAGAAGGGCACACAAGGCCGAGGCAATCAGAAAGGCAGCCCTGATTAACCCATTGCATCTGAGGAAACTTTCAACCCTCAGTGTCACTTTATAATCCTAAGAGCAACAAAAAAGGCTTAAGGAACAACAGCACCAGGTGCCTACTCCTCTGCTGAGTCAGAAGGTGGGAGCTTCCAGTCCCCCTGAGGGCTGTGACCCCCTGGACCCTGCTCACCTTCATGGTAGTGGTCCTCAACAGTGATGATTCTGCCCTTGGTTGCTCTTGCACTTTCAAGTATTGTCTTCTTATCCAGGGGCTTTATAGTGAAGGGATCAATCACACGGATGAAGATTTTCTCTGCAGAAAACAGAATGAAATGATTTGCAACATGAATGTGGAGCGTGCGGGACAATGTCAGTGGCACAGGCAATCACTGTGACCTTCTAGACCATTATGAAAACTGCCTACAGTAACTCCCAGGTACCTGAACCTATGGCTTGTCTACCACAGAATATTTTTATATGCATTCTTTCTCCATGCACCTTGAGAAATAGTAATATCCATAGTAATATCCATTCATTCACAGACAAGACAGAAAAGCCTTGGATAAGTGACTCAAGGTCACTAGGAGTGCCCATCAGCAAGACATCTAACTGGCCTTCCCCCAGGTAAGAGCAGAATCCACTCACCAGAAAATCCTTCTTATTCAGATTGTCAATTACAATTTTTTTCCTTGGATCTTTATTTTACCTTTAACCTTACTGTCAAGCCAGGCACAATTTCCTCCTGATTCTTTGGTTTGTAGGCATTTGGAGTTTTTTCTTCACTGCAGGCTGCCACCTCCCAGGTATGTCTGTCTGAACTGCCCCAGCCCTGCCTGGGCACCCTTAAGGTTGGCACCAAACCCAGAATCTGTCCTGTCCTCATAAGGCAGGCCCAGATGGCTCGTTAAAGCTGCACACAAATGGCAATTGTTTATAAAGAATAGCAATTGCTGAGGTTTTGTCTGGCCCTGGCTAGCTGAACACTGGGTCAACTCCTACACATGAAGAGGCCCTATTGTCACAGTTTTGTGACTGAAGGCTCTTTAGTGGCCAATGCATTTTGGGTATTAGACGCTGCCTCTGCACTGAGGGATTCTCTCTCCAGAGGTGGTTACTCACACTTCAAGATCAGCAGAGCATTGCAAAGCACGGTAAAATGCAGAAAAGTAATAACGGTTCTGAAAATGCAACTTTTACAATGTCCTAAGCCTGGTGACTCAAGGTCATGACAAAGCATCAGTCCACCCAGATACTGCACACAAAGCTCCCCATAAGCCACGGGCAGCATTAACTGTATTATCTCCTGCTCTCCGTAATCTCTTCCTGGGCGCAGGCCCCTGACTCACAGATGGGGCTTTGACGGGTTCTTTCTCTTCTTATTTCACTGAAGGATTATCATGGCTGTGAGGTGTCAGTGCACTCCAGCACTACCATGGAATTGTGCCTCCTTCCAGGCTATTACAGAGCTGGTCCATTCCCTCGGAGCCGTGTCCTGGCACACGGTGACAGGCTGTGGTTTGGTCCCTGGCCCAGCCTGTTTGCAGCCCATTGTGCTGTGACCATGTGCCACTCCTGCTTCTCACACTGTCTCCAAGCCTCTGCCCAGGGCTCTATCACACAGATTAGCAGTTCTAAGGAGACCTTGATCTGGTCAGTTTGGCAATTTTCATGGCTATTAATGCTGCTAAGCCAACTAAACCGCCACTCCGTTTTAGGCAAGACTGGCAGGTATGTCCCATGTAGTATCAGCTAACAGGTGACTGACTACCTGCCCAGAACAGTTTAATTAATGTTTATCAGTACAAAGGGTGAGCAGTTAGGCTGACTGGTATTGATTTTTCTTTTTTGCTGTGTTAAATGATAAAAAAGGAAAAAAGCCCCACCTTTCCTCAGCTGCTCTGCTGCAGCCAGAGCCTCATGCAGAGTGACTCCTGCTCCGATCACAGTCACTTGGTCATCCTTGCTCTTCAAAATCACCTGCAAGAAAACGTGCCCATGTATTTTTAACAATAAATCTTACTGATTTATTTTACATTTCTAGAGATTTTATTAAAAAGATCAAATCTCTGGCATTGCAGTGCTTTAGAGGGAAAAGGTCTTTTACAAGAGGAACAGTGAATAGTTTTTCTGATTCTGTTTATCTGTACAGTATTTACCTTTGCCTGTCCAATATGGAAGTCCTCATTGTTGTTGTAAATGACAGGATTTTCAGGACGACTAGTTCTGATGAAACAAATGCCCTGTTTCCCAAGTAAAGAGGAGAGAAGTTACAAAAACAGAAAGGTGTTGACATTCTAGTTAGTAAAACCTATGAAAAAAATACAGCAAAGGAACTTTCTATTTGTGTGGTGTTCACCCTTCTATGTTACCTCTGGTTCCACTGAGTTAACTCCCCCCTGCCCCACCAATTCCCATCAGTCCTTACTCAGTAGCTGGTTGCTTCAAACATTACAAAACACTTCACCTCCTCTTGGAGCACGCTGATAACTTACAATTTCCTTTCTGACTCCAAGACCTTTATTTCTCTTCTGTTCTCTTGTGGAAATGGAGAATCCTACTCAAGTTAATTAGAATCTCAGAACCTTGCCATCCATGTGCAGATTTTACTCTTACCAATTTTAAAGCAAAAGAAGAAAGGCTGG